CTTTGGGATGTGCTGGAGAAGGCTTTGTGCAGCGGTCAGACTCTACCATCATCAATGCAAGATCCTGGTGAAGCATCAATGCCACACTGGATGGAAACAAACCTGGAGACGTTGCAGAAGCTTATTGAAACAACGCCGCAGCAAATGTGTGCTCTAATCAAAGCTAACAGTGGTCCAACGAAATATTAGAGAGTGTGACATATTATTTTTTCGTCGTGACTTTCTTTTGGCTGGGCAGTGTGTGTTATTTGTCTTTGATTCAATAACAAACCCACCCATGGACGTAATTTTGGGGGGGGGACAGGGGGGACATGTCCCCCCCCCCACATTTTCCAAAGTCAAGGTTTGACCCCTGCACTTTTTACCATCCAAAAATAATATTACGCTATATTAAATCGACACTGGTTGAGCTCTAGGACCAAGCGGAAAACGACCGTTTGTGTTGAAGCCTGTTTCCCATTAGAACATACTGTAAAGATCCCCCCCCTGTGTCCCCCCCCCACTTCTAAAGTGAAAATTACATCCTTGAACCCACCCCAGTGCAGTCAATTGTGTTCACTAGATTCTCTTAAACCACCACGACCCTATTTTATTCTAACATCCCAGCTACCACATGTAGGCACTTTCCCTGTTTATTGTGACCGCTGCTTCTTTCATCGTGGACTGAGATCTTTTTTATTTGTTTTTATCCAAAGAACCTGAAGCCATTTTCAATCGAGCTGTTCAAAAGCAGAATTCTGGCTTTGCATAAAGTCAGAAGAAGGTTCCTAACACCTTCAAGAAGCTAATCCTAACCCTAAAGAATGAAGATGATCGTGATGGTGGAATATGGACCAACCTGAAGCTAGTAAACTACACCTATACGCTTTGTTTGCACCAGAGATTACCCACACTATTTTTCTTCTTGAAGAAGCATTTAATTCAATTTCCCAAAATGACATTTTTAAGTTAATCATTTTGTTTATTCCTCCGTTAGACAAACGGTACTCTTCACTGCAGTCAGAATTAATCTCTATTGTTCCATTCCGAGGTTCATAGCCATTCCTTAGAAGTTTATTTCAAAATCTCTGAATTCTTCTTCTAAAGTTTTATATCAAGCCATAAAAGCCTCTTAGATCAAAGGAAATCACCAGATCACCTGCAGCCGTATTTAAAACGGTTCAGTGGGTTTCATTCTTTTCAGCTTCAGGATTGCTGGAACAGTTTTACTCCGAGATTTCGTTTTCGTTTTTCTGTATGTGCTTGATTCTATTCAGGGTTGCTGGTGCCTGACTCTGACCCTGGCTCTTCACGGTATTTAGATGGTCGTTCGAAACCAGATCAGGCAGCTGTTCCATGATTTCGAGTCACCTCATTCACGTAATAAAAGTGAAATTCACCACTAAAAAATACTAAAATGACAAATATTTATAATAACTCGATCATTTTGATAGTTTTTTTTAAAAGGTTTATTTTTAGAAACACCCCCAAACTGAACATGAGCGTGCAAACAGAACACAAGCACAATTGTTGTAGGCGTTAGGTTTCTTTTCCTTTCCTTTATTTAATAAACACAGGCGGAAATGAGGCGATCACACATTCATAGGATCCTTTCTGGAGATGATTTGGATTTTTCTGCTGGGAATGTGGCTGGTGGGAGATGCAAGAAGAGGCGTAAACATTGGTGGGAGGATGCTTGCATTGTTGTGTGAGTGCACGCGTTCCCGAGCACGTGCACATATGCAAGTGTGATTTCCATGTAAAAATCACTTCTTCTGCCTAAAATAAAGTTTTAGATGAAATGATAAAAACACATGAAACAACTTCAGCTGGATGTTTGTTGACAAGATAAACTCATCTGCTCAACTATTATGTTGAGTTTGCTTTAAACTTTAAAAGTTGTCATGAGCCGGGGTGAGTGTTCTCCCTCAACAAACCATCTCTGAGCTTGCTTCCAGGTGAGGGAGATGGTGAGACACCAGCTGCGTTGGATCTACAATCAGCAGGTCAGGTTTAAAAGCAGGATGGGGACACAACACGACGCCAGTTGTAGTAAGTTTGATGTAATTAGGGGTGAATTTATAGATAGGTTGAAAGATAAAGGATGTGGCATTTGGAATTTGAGAACGTTGTTGAATGGCAGTGGGTCCAATTATAAGTTGGTGCTGGAGTTTCTTAGGAAAATTAAGGTATTTAGTAGAATTTAGTTTTTTATTATTTTTCTTTATATATATATATTTTTTTTTCTCTCCTCGCTCTGACTCACACTCCTGCACAGTAGGTGGCGGTAATGCATCTTAAGTTGGTTGCCACCCGCCATTTAAACCGGAAAGGAAGAAGAAGAACACGACGCCAGATGATTGCTAGTGTTTGAGTAGTTCCAGCCATACACCTCGGTCACTAGGTTTTTCCTATGACTTAAGTATTTTTACCAGTCGACTTGTTGATCGTGTTTTTGCTCCCATGCTTCAGGTACTCTCTGGATTCCACAAAATGCCACAATAACCCTCTGGATTGCACTCAGCCACGTCGCACCCTTCCTCCTGACCGACCCGTTCTCTCGCCGCTCTTCCTCAGCTCCTGCTGGACTTTGGACTCACCCTCGGCTCATTATCTCTCCCCACTTCCAAGAACTCTGTCTGCCGTCAGTCCCAAACAACCCCATCCTTCCCCGCTGTGCCCCCCTCCCGGGACTCACCTGTCTCTGCTCTTCCCTAGAAGCTGTTCTCGCCCAGTTTCCTGATCACTGGACTTAACAGTGCACCCTTAGTTTCCATTTTTCTAAATAATAACTTTGGTTTACTTACACCCTGTGTCGAGTTGATTCTGGATGTCCTGGGTTAGACGCCTGCCTCGAAACATGACAGAATCATCCGGCCAAACCCCTAACCCTGCAGAATCAGCCCTTGCCGAGCTCGCTAGCAGGATGACTCAACAGGAACAAACTCTCCCTTTGTTTATGGAAGAGTTAGCTGCTGCTAACCAACGCTACAACCAGTTAGAAGCCCTAGTCCGACAAATCCACGAGCGGTTACCACCACAGTCAGTCAGCTGCCGCCCCGGAACCACCGTTGGCTGCCGCGGCCGCAGCGGCTCCACCCGGACCGTAAACTCCAGGTCCTACGGAAGGCAACCATTTCCAGTTAGCTGTTCCCACGCCTTCTGTAACCTTCTGAGGTGAGTTCAATGACTGCAATGTTTCCTGCTTCAGTGAAGACTAGCTTGTGAACGCTCACCATGTGCTTTTGGCACAGACTCAGCCAGAATTTCATACATAGTGGGTCTTCTGAGAGGTAAAACGTTAAAGTGGGCCGAAGCCAAGAGTCACCGTGTTGGGTTTTTAACTGGATCTTAATCTGAATTTTTGAACGATTTTGAGCTAATTTTTGGCAGTGCCGAGTCCTCTTCGGATATTAGGAAAAGACTCTGGCACCTTTCACAGGGACGAAGGATGGTGGCCGAGATGTCCCTCGAGTTCCGGACGCTGGCAGCAATGATGACCTGGAACGACGATGCCCTGATCGCGGCCTTCACTGAGGCCCTCAACAATAAAGTAAGGAATCAGCTGGTCCTATGCCCAGAACCACAGACCTTGGAGGAGCTGATTCGGTTGGCAATCTCTACTGATAAGAGGCATCGCGAACTTCAACGACCGACCACCCATACTTCCCTATACCCTACCAGGAACCAACTTCCAGTTTCCCAGGGCCCTCCGTCGCCAGACCCTACAGAAGAACCCATGCAGCTGGGATGAGCCCGACTATCGTGGGAGGCATCACCTGGGAGGTGAGAGATCAGGTTCTGGAGGCCCTCAAGACCGACCCTGGCCCAGGTATTTGCCCCCCCAGGTAGACATTTTGTCCAACAGAATCTGCGGAGCAAACTTATCCATTGGGCTCCACCGGAGTGGGGTGGATAGCAAACCAAAACTAGGCTGAAAATGAGCAAGCCCAATTCTGAGGAAGGAGCACACAACGTTTTCATGTGAAACAGGATCTTGCTCTTCTTCTTCCTTCTTCTTCCCCGCAACCCAGACTCCCCGCCGGCAGCAACAGATGCAGCCACAACACTTAACCCTGCCTTTTTGCTGAGCCATGACAATTGCAGCAGAAACAGGATGACACCAGATAACCTTGGAATAATTGACACACACACACACACACACACACACACACACACACACACACACACACACACACACACACACACACACACACACACACACACACACACACACACACACACACACACACACACACACACACACTTGGCATGTCTCCATGGTAACCATGTTATCTTTTTAATCCCCAGAAGCATCAGGAAGTCATCAAAACAAGTTTGAATCCTAGTTTTTGGCTGCGTTTCAGTAACTCAACAACAGCACTAAGCCTAAAAATAAAACAAAAAATGAATAAATGATAGAAATAGAATCACATTCAAACTCTATTTAAAGTTGGCTGGAAACCCCCTATTAAAAGGCTGCTTTGGCTAATGTAATTTTAAGAGTAGAAAACCAGATTGTTCCGATACCGATAAGTGTACAATATGTCAGAATGCCTCAGTGAAATAATTACAAAACAGTCTAATGTCTAAATCGTGCTGGAAGGAAGGGGTTTGTTGGTTTTTCTCCATTTAAAACAGCTGAAGAGGGACGTGGTCTCTGTTTACAATTGTGGGGTTGTTGAACGTTGCAGCTCCAGCATTTGTAATTCAATACTCGCCAGCAAACGCAGCAGTGTTTTGTTCAGAACCAAAGCCAGTAAACAGGAACGACCTAGAAGTTATTTCTTGTATCCCTAAAGCCTGGTTTATACTTCTCCATGAGCTCTGCAACAGAGAGATGCACACGTTGTATCGGAAAGGTTTTCACATTCGAACTTCTGTTCAGGCAGCAGAGCGTTGCAAAGCAATTCCCCTCCAGGACAACAGAGGGCGTAGCGCTGTTCTGTGGTATCCTGCCACCATAGCACTCATGCATCTGGTCCTCAATAGTGTATTTACTATTGTGTTTATATATTTCAGAGACTTTATAAGACGGACAAATTTGTCCTTCATTCTCCTCTTCTTCATGCAGTCGCCACCTCTAAACCCACATTTTTCATCGTTTCCGTCCACGTTTGCTCCGTATTTTGTATTCCTTCACTCACGAGTGAATAAGTGTTAATATTTTCAGATTTTTTCAGCAATGAGTTTGTGTTGCCCTTAAGGCATTTCTCTGAATAAATAGGTTCATAAGTTTGAAATAAATAATTCTAAAATGATTTGTCATTAAAAACATTGATATGTGTTGTTAAAATGAATAATTCATGCTTTATATGCGTTTTAGTTAAAAAAGAAAATATCGCTAAAATGTACTTCCTGTTCTGGTGGCGCACTTCCGGTTCTGGTCAAACACTGTTTTCGCGGAGAAACAGGCGCCTCATGCTGAAGGCAGCGTGGAGATGTAATCAGATGCCATCTTCTCTGAATTATCAGGCTGGAACGCCGTAAGTTGCTTTATATGACAGTTTATATGAATAGCTTTGGATATTAGTGTTTATTTTGCTAACACGAAAGTTTCAGCGAGAGTAATGCATGTGATGTTTGGATGTAAACCTGATTCTATCTGTTAAGATGGAGTCTATTTTCTGTCATTTCAGTTTTCACCACATGTTCATGAGACAATTAAACAAGCTGCAACTAAACTCCAGGATCTTCTTTTGTGGTTTAACTCGGTGTCACCAACATCCCTGTTGAAAACACAACAGCATTCTTCAATCTGTTTGGGGTCTGCTGCTAAATATCTGTTCACTTTTCAACGGAGCTACATCTGTGCTGGTGACGAATATACAGGAAGTGGCGCCCTGACCAATCACAAGCTTGCGGTCTGTTATTTTTGATGGGGGTTTAACATTTTGTGCATGTTGGCTGGACTGGAGAAAGAACAGTGAAGCTGTTTACAAGAAGGGACACAGCAGACTGCACTTCTTGAGAATGCTTAGGTCCTTCAATGTCTGTAGTAAGATGCTGCAGATCTTCTACAAGTCTGTTGTTGAGAGTGTAATCTCTTCAGCCATCGTCTGTTGGGGTAGCAGCTTCAGAAGCAGGGACCTGAAAAGGCTCAACAGCCTAATAAAAAAGGCTGGTTCTGTTCTGGGGACGACTGTGGAACCACTGGAGGAGACATTGCAAAGAAGGATTCTCCAGAGAATCAAGAAAATGATGGACAACCCTGAGCATTCTCTTCACAAGACTGTCCGACAACGGAGTGTCTTCAGTCAGAGGCTTCTTCAGTTTGGCTGCAACACTGACCGCTACTGGAGATCCTTCCTGCCAACAGCCATTGTAATATACAACAACTCTTTGATGACTTGATTATTATTATTATTCTGAGCTACTACAGCAATCAGTTTCCCTCTGGGATTAATAAAGTTTTTTTGACTTGAATTGAATTGATGTCTCCGTCACCCTCTGTGGGCCCATTGGAGAACCCTTATGCCGATGCACATTGGCTTTGCGTGTCTCTGCACCGACGCAGATGAAGAAGCATAAATCAGGCTTAAGAAACAACATTATCTTTGTTTTACTCTAATATCAGACAAAGAAGGCTAGAGACTAATGTTGAGCTAATGCTAACAGTTTATTAGAAACAAACAGTTGGCTCTAAAAGTATCTCAAGCTATTTTTCTATTTGATTTAAGTGCATACATCTTCTTATCAACGTACTATATCTGACTCGACTTTGCTCATTGTTTAGAGTCCTCTGATGCTGATCTGTAGCTGAAAGGGCCGTGAACCTCGTGGAACAGTAGCGAGAGTCACTTGTGTGTTTTGAAAAATGACTGCAGTAACCAAATTTGACTGCAGAATGTCTTTCTTACGTCATTTCATGCACCTTTAATGAGAAACTATGCAGTATTGGCTTGCTTTTGGCACCCCCTAGTGTCCGTTAGTAAAGATGAAACTGATACAAAGCACAGTGGCGGCAGTATTACGCTGATTTGCCGTCATGGTGTGTCTTGTAAAAAGAGATCCAGTAAAGGGTTATTTTAGCATGCACTGGCTCTAGAAAACTATTTTTAGTTCAAAGCAAATATCTTGTCAGAATTTACAAACACCAATAGATAGATTTTATAATTGCATTCTAACCAGTCTTTCCTCCAAGCAAGAGGCACAGCAAGGCTTTACTAGAAAATACCAGCTGCTGGTTGACCGAGCCACCAAGACAAACAAACCTACGCACTTCCTGGACTACAAAAAAACCTATCAATCAGTGCCACACGTGGATCCTGGAGGTCAACAAGGTCAACAACACTCTCAGAGCCTTTGCTGCAAACTTCAGGAAGTTGTGCAAAACCACAATTTCGGGCCGATTTCAAGCCAATTGTGCAAATCCTGATCAAACGTGGAATATACTAAGTAGATACTACGGCCCTACTTCTGTTCTAGGGATGAACTTCCACAGCCAAGTAATAATCAAGACTGTCTATTGGTAGTAGCCGACACACAAACACACACATATATTTATGGAAAACTGGAGCGTGATATCGATAGGTGGATTGGTGCTGCCTTGGTAGGGAATTTTTGTTTGTGGAAAGAAACAGTACAAGTTAAGCTGCACCGGGAATTTTGAGCACTAGGAATCCCACCCACCAGTAATCCCAGTCCTACTGGTGGGCTTTGGTTTTTGGCCGAACAGGACAGTTATGGATTAAGTGGCCAGGTTGACCACAATAGAGGCAAAGGCCTAGGGAACGGCGTCTCATTTTCTCCTCGGGAGTTAACTGCGCTCGTCTGATTTGCATGGGTTCATCTGACCCCGAGGGAAGGAGGTGCTGTTGAGGTGTTTGATGGGGATGTTGCTGTGCAGCAGTGGTTGAAGGTGGCCTGAACGTCGAAGTCTTGTGTCTTTCCTTAAGGCGTTTCAATGTTTGAGGTGAGGTTGATAAGGGACTCGAGGTTCTCGGGTTCCTGGCAAAACGCGAGCTGATCTTTTATCTTATCGGTCACAACCTGAGAGAAAGCGGCTTTTAGAGAAGCCTCGTCTAAAGCTGATATGGAAGCCAAAGTGTGGAATTCTATGGCAAAATTGAGGGCCGACTTTACCCTGCTGGAGATTCCAAATCTGCTATGCGATTTCTGTGGGAGACTCCGTCTGGTCAAAACGTTGTTTGAACTCAGCTAGAAAAGCCGAGAGCGGACCTCGCAGGAAGCTAGCCTGCCAGCTCTTAGCCTCGGCCTTTGCAGAGCCCTACCCCGGAGTAAGCCGACTATGTACGACATTTTAACCTCATCATTTATGAAGGTGTCTGGTGACCTTTCAAATGCTAACTGGCAGAGTAGTAGGAAACAGCGGCATTTACCTGGCTCGCCGGAGAATGTATCAGGCTGTGGCGACTCGGCGACCCAGAAACTAACCCCATGCTGCTGAACCGGAAGTGGCGGTAGAGATGAAGCTACGGAAGTAGTGGTAGGATGCGGCGTGGAAGTGAGTCTTTCATTCATTTGGCTTATGGCGGTGTCGAGCTGGAAAAGACGTTGATTAGTGGCAGATAATTGTTTGAGTACTGACCGGATGGAACTTTCATGCTGGGACAAGGTATTGGCTATGGCGACAGGAAGTGGTTCTTCAGAGGATGCATTCGTTTGGCTGGTTGATTCTGTCATGTTGTGGGCAAGGTGCTTAACCCAGGACATGAAGAACCACACGTGAAAACCAGGTAAGTAAAAAGAGTAAACTATTTTATTAAATGAAGCTAACGAAAACTAAGGGCGCTGCTCCAGAAAAACAGGAACGGACCGAAAATCTAAAACGAAAGATAAACAATCGTGAATACGAGGTGGAACCAGAGAACTAAGAGAATAACAAGTTTGGTGTTTGAATTGTTCTTACGGTCTTAAACCAGTTCTTAGTGGTGGTGGACTGGGTGAAGTTCAGTGGAGGAGAGGCGGCAGGTCCGATGATTGTAGGGGAGGTGGACAGGAGAAGGTTGTGTGAGTGCAGGGTGTAGGTTGGCAGGCAGGCAGGCAGAGCGATGGAGAGTGGAGGCCAGAGGATCCTGAGCGACGGGACGAGGAAAACAACTCCAGGCGTGGTTAGCGGATGCGAGGCGCGATACTAGAAACAAGAGCATACAGGATCTCATAGAACAAGTTCGTTGGAAGATCAGGTAATGTACTGGGCTAGAAGCTACCCTGGTGAGAGTATCAACCGGCGCTGGAGTTGTGTCACACCGCTCCTTAAATCCCCTGGCCCTCTGATTAGCAGAATCAGGATCAGCTGGAGCTCGTGCCACGCCCACCTGCAACACAAACAGCTGACTGCCAGGTTACCTCACCTGCTGATAGAGGCAGACCGTGACAGCGGACCTTCATGGAGCGCTTGTCCTATCGGGAGTGGCTGCGCTGGGCACGGACTGTGGATGGCTGATGTTGGAGGGACAGATATTTTCATAGAACTCTGAGATTTCGACTAATAAATGACCCGAAAAACTACCAGCGTGCACCGCCTAGAAAAAAGTGTTTAAAAAAGGTGTGACGAGAGGTCAGAGTTTGAAGTGGCGGTGCATGTTGTTGCAAACCAAACCCACTTAAAGCACAGCTTTCAGTCCATATATTCAGACTTTCAGTCCATATATTAGAATAGAATAGAATAGAATGCCTTTATTGTCACTATACAGGTGTAAAGTGAGATACGGAGCATCTCCTACTCAGTGTAAAGCAAACATACTTGGGGGGGACAGTTCTGCATATTCAGACTTCGGTCCATACATTCAGAAGTATTCTGGTAGTAATACAGCTGCCTGCCAGTATTCTTGTTTGTCCTCTGAGTCTTGTCTGCAGGCGGGCGTGTCTGAGCTGGTCTTGTCATCAAGGCCCAGGGGATTTAAGGAGCAGTGTGACACAACACTGTGCCAGATGTTTACTCTGTTTGGGTAGCTCTAGCCACTAACCTGCCTTGAGCGTTGTGTATCTTGTTAGAAAATCTGCCGCCTGAAAATCCAAGACAACTCTTCCCTGTTCTCCTCCAGGTTTCCCACTCCATGTTCCCTCGTCTCCATAACCAGCCCGGACTCCTGCACTCAAGATCACACTGCTGTTCCCCTAGCCGCCCGTTCTCAGCCGCTCACCTGTCCTCACCAGCATCCGCACCAACCTCACCTCTGGACAAACATTTGTCGCTCTCTGGACCTCTTCAGCTCCCCCGGACCTGACCAAGCTCCCTCTGTGCCTCCTACCGTTACCGGAAACCATAAGCTTTCTAAGTCAATGTCTCCATAAATCCTTCTGGAAACTCACTCTGTCTCCCTCCTCAGAGCCCCACCCTGGAATGCTGCTACCAGTACACAGCATCTTCAGTTCCCGTTGCTCCTCTTTAGCTCCTCATTTAAAATAAATCCTTTTTACACTTACCTGTTCCCCGTGTGTGATTCTGCATGTTGTAGGTCAAGAAACTGCCTCCCAACATGACAAAAGTGTTATTAGGAACACCACACTAATACGCTGTTTGACCCCCTTTCACCTTCAGAACTGCCTTAATTCTACGTGGCGTTGGTTGAACAAGGTGCTGAAAGCATTCTTTACAAATGTTGGCCCATGTTGATAGGACAGCATCTTGCAGTTGATGGAGATGTGTGGGACGCACATCCAGGGCACGAAGCTCCCGTTCCACCACGTCCCAAAGATGCTCTATCGGGTTGAGGTCTGGTGACTGTGGGGGCCGTTGTAGTACCGTGAACTCATCGTCATGTTCAAGACACCAATTTGAAATGACTGGAGCTTTATGACATGGTGCATTATCCTGCTGGAAGTAGCCATCAGAGGATGGGTGCATGAAGGTCATGAAGGGATGTTTCTTCATTCATTCAATAAGTAAATGTTTTGCGTGCTAATTCTTCCAAAAATTTGACACACAGCTTTTGAATATCGATAAAATATTGCAGGAAATAATATTGCAATATACTGCCATAATATTTTCTTACATCCCTAATATATAATATATAATTTTATATATTATATAATATTTTTTAATAGATTTCTGCAAATGTTTTTTGAACAACTGCATCACGTGTACATGCTTACCATGAAGCTCCAAACTGAGCATTGGGGACTTCTTGTTCCCAATGATCAGCTTTGAGATGTTTCTGCAGCTTAATTGGAGTCACTTTTGGTAAATTGATTTGATTGGACGTGATATGAAAAGGCACAAACCTATAATATAATACAGTAATACATTTATTCCCCACAAAAATATCAGCAAAACAACGTTTGGTGGTTCTTTGTTAACAAATAGACTTTCAAGTTGGTTTCTGCTGTCACAAGTGGCAGTCTCCTACATTTTACAGCTTTTCATGCAAGTATCACACCACCATCATTGTCACATAACAGTTATTTCTGCAGAAACATTAAAATAATCCCTGCTGGGCTTGTCTCCTGCATGCATCAAAGGTGC